CGGTGGGCAATACTATCGTATATTAGACAATGTATTGCCCGCTCTAAAAAACCACACGTACGCCATCTTCGCCAATGATGTAGCTCTATTGAACTATGCATAATTTGGCGCGCATTTGTCATTGAGAATGACAGCAAACATTCAAACTTTCTTTTCTACTGTGTGTTCGAATGTGTCACATCGTAACAAGAGTAAGTATAATTGTTTTTCATTTTTATTTCAAACATTTTACAAAATTTCTTTGCGAACAAACATTGTTTTTGATTATTCAAACCAGTTTTGTCATTCCACAGTAGAAAAAAAAGATAATTACTTTAAATTTATTAGAATTTGTTTTCAACAAAAGTGTGTTTTTTTTTCAATGCAGTGCTAACGCGCAAACAGAAGGCCCAATTGAACGCAACGTGTCAAGTTGTAGTTGAAAAGATGGATAGCCATCGTCAAATCCGTTTCGCTGAAAATGTGGAAAAAATTTCACCAGAAATTCGTGGACGCAGCCGGGCTCGTGGCCGCGGCCGTGGTCGCGGTGGACGTGGACGTGCTGGCAAAAGTGTTTCGTCACGAGCATCGAAAAGCCGTGACATGGAAATTGTTGCTGTCTCATCAAGTGAAACCGAAATTGATGAGCCAAGACGTCGTCATGCCAGTCGATCACCACATTATCGCTACGATGACTATGGTTACCGTCGAAGCCGGCGCGATCGCATTGACTACGATGCTTATGGTTATCACCACCGCTCGTACGTTCCAAATCATTACCGTCATCGCGAACCTTCGCCATATCGGTACAGAAGCCATCGATATGGAAGCTACAGTTGGTCTTCACCGTCTCCATCGCCACCACCATCATCCACACGTTATCATCGATATCGTCATTCACCATCACCTCAATCGTACCGTCCCACAAAATCACGAGCTACAAAGCGCCAAGCTGACGATACACCAAAGTCTGCTAAGCGTGTTAAAGCAGTTGAATCACCAATTCATCAACGTAGCCGAAGTGTGGGTCATGTTATTTCACCAAAACCTGCAATTGTCAATCGCCGTGGTCGAAAATCATCTGTAGACGATACACCGAAGGTTCCAGCAAAACGTTCACGACGCGCCATTTCAATCGGTAAACAGTTTTTTCTAGTCTATCTTCAAACATAGCAATTTTTTTAAATTCAAATTTCAAATTCATTGATGCGATTGCCGATTCATTATTTTATTTTTATCTGAATTTTCTAATGCTAAATTTCGTTTAAAATTTCAGCTGCTTGTGCCTGTTCACACCACACCGCATCGCTTGAAATGCCAAAATCACCGTTGTTGCCAAAGACTGCGCAGTTCCAGGTATCGGCCAAAGGCAAAGGTGGTCCAATCCCGAACTTGTTGGCAATCAATCCACCGAATTCACAACCAGCAAACAGCTCATCAACGCAAAAACCGGTCGATCAAGATCTTTTGAATGCTCAGATCAAAATAAACACCGAAATGATGGCCGAGGTGCAGAAGTTGCGCACTGAACGTAAAGAGCTATTAGCTGTCTTTGAACAAGCAATGAAAGAAAAAGAAATGGTGCGAGCACAGCTGAAGAGAACAACCGATCAATTGGATGCGATCAAGCAAAAGATGGACAAACGTGCCCCAAACAATGGAAGCAATGCTCCCGCCTCTGATGGCCCATCTCAACAATAAATATCATTATGTCGCATGAAATCAGTTTGAAAATGTAAAAATCGTTCCACCTTGTGATAAAAACTTGATATATTTATTACGTCTTAAGTTATAACTTTACAGACCAAATGTTAAGTAAGCTATTTTTATTCACAAAATAAAATTAAAAACGCGACTGATAGAAAAATAAAAAGAAAACAAGAAATAAAATGAATCTAAACCAATAAATGGAAATATTAACCTCTTTTTATTTTTCAATATAAAGTAAATAATTTCATTTGGATTTTCGATTAAAAATAATGACTGATTATATTATTTTTGGTTGGACATTTATTTTTGGCGTTTTTCTGTTCATTGACCAGCTTCGTGGATCAACTTCTTATAGAAATGTCGAATCGATGCTTCGTCATGGGATTTTGTTGTTATGCATTTAGCAATATGGTTTGACTTCAATTTTATGTATAGTTCAACTATCTGTTTCACAAAATCGTATTTATGAGGGCCAGGTTCTGAGTGGTTTTGGAAATTGGAATACGGGTACAACGAATCAAAATCCAACGCACTAAGAACTTTCATTGTAGCACCACGAAAAGTGATTGTCTTGTCCTCATAACATTTCAGGAAATGGTCGATGAATTTGCAAATTTCATATGTGCTTCGGCATGGCTGCATCATATTCGTTCGTCGTGCCTTGAATCTTATAAAACTGTCTTCCATCAGTTCATTTTCAATGAAACTGTTAATGCAATCCCCACATTTGACAATCATTCTCGGTGACTTAGCATTGATAATCTTTTTTTCGAGCTCACTGGCCATATAGGCCAATGAATGACTATGTGAATCATCCACATATTGACCTGCATTCAAATCATCTTCGAGTATTTCGGCAATTGACATATCCAATGACGAATAGGTGTTGTTTTGTTTACGGGTTTTATGCGATGACACCGTCAATATTTTCACCCCTCGATCGATGCAGTTCGCCTTCTCGGAACAGACGACGTCATTGTGGATAAGCAATTTACGATAAGCAGCCTCGAATTGTTGCGCTGTTGGATTATCATTGAATCCTGCGACAAAACAAAATTAAAATAAATATTTCTTCAATTTGTAATAAAAATAAATAAAATACGTACCGCCCATGCTTCTGATGGAACCAAAGAACGTCTCCAGATGGTCTTGACTGAAACGGTGAGTCACCAATGCTTCCATTCTGTCAGTTTCAACGTATTCATGATAAATTTTTCTAAAATTTATCATATTGATGAAAAATCCGAAAAATGCTGTGGAAATTGAGGCAGAAAATACAGAAGTTCCGTCTTCAGTTGTCAGTTGCTTTATAAAATTTTTAGCCGTATCGAAACGTTGGAACAGTTCATGAGACGTCGATTTTGTGATTGCTCTTTTGAATCCGGTTCCTCCTTCTGCTTTTGTTGAATTCATGATATCGAATATGTCATTGATGATTCGTGTATACTCGGCTGTAGCCTCAACATTCGCAAACATTTCGCATTCTTCCTTCATGAACAGCATGGAATCGGCCGTA